ATTGGAACCTAAAAGTCAATGATCTCTGTGGATCTGTGAAGTTATGTCTACAAATCTAGCGTCATGGTTTTACAAAGCTCTAAATTAAAGATGGAGAAACATGCATGTAAGCCCTGAATAACAATGAGCAAAGACTTGCATGCTAACATAGTGACTGTGTGCTTTAGCAGGGAGGGGCAGCTGCTCTCTCTCCCCATGTCTTTTTGAATAAAGCTGAATGTGTCTTTATATAGCAGTACAGCAGTGTGCATATGAGGAATCTAGGCAGGAATCTCTTTGGCTCTTCTCATTTCTCTCATCTCCTTCCCTCTGGCAGTGGATTTACCGAAGGACCACAGTTGTTGCCACAGCATACAATAAGAATATTATTATTCAGTAAGGCATTGAACAGCCTGTGAACTATCATATTACAGAACACAATGGGTAGGAACAAGATGAAAGTAGGAACAAGATGAAGTGTTTATGTCAGTCTATATCAAAATATAAAGTCAAAACCATTTGCTTGTCATTTGTCATTAAAGTGAGTATGCCGAGCTTATAAAAAATACCTTCATCAGGCAGGAACAAACATTACAGTAATATTTCTATGTTTGCAGATCAGGTCAGTTCATGACAAAATCATTGAAGTCATTCAGTTTGTTCCTAATCTCCTGAAGGGTTAGCATAATGTCAGCCACAAACTTCCTTGAAGTGGCAGGGGCATTCCAAGCATTACAGTAGGTGTTATTATTTTCCTTGCTGATAAATTAAGAGTGTTGCCTCTCCACAAGGGATTAACACAGATCACATCCTCTCTTTTCTTATATTTCTCCCCCTTTTTATTTCCTTTGCTGCCCCTGTTCCCGTGATCGCTCAGAGGAACGAAATCCTGCTCCACTGATATGAAATTCATTCGAGAATGATCTGTTTTGCTTCTGATGCCTCACTCTGCCATTCCAGCTGTCCTATTCAATTGCTTTATATTTTTATTCTGGCTTGGAATGAAAACATATCTGTTGGTATTGTTCCTTTCATGCTTGCAAGTGCGTCTTTTTCATTTTTTGGCCAAGAAATCATGTGTGGGTTATTATAGTCAGGAAATTTTTCATCACTTCTGATTGTGTTTTGGCCCAATGTGAGACAAAATAACATACAGCGACCTCATTGGTTCATCTGTCTGCCTCAGCTGCAGCCAACTCTTCCTTATTATTCCTCGGTAAGAACAAACAAGCACTCACTGTTTCACTTTTATGTAACTCTTAAACACAGGTCTTTCTCCTCTCCACATCTGTCCTACGCCCCCTTCACTTTCAAATGTCATGTAATTAGCCTCTTTCTTTCTTGCCATTTCTTCATCCTTTTCATCAGCTCCTTTCTTGAACTCATCTGTGCTGCTGTGAATGCGGCTCTCCAGTCAGTACGAGCTCATTATTTTCTTCCAGATGTCTTCCTCTGATTTCTCCTCAGTGGCTTGTTCCTGTGAATCTAGATGATTTACACAAGTTGCTTTGACAGTGTCTTGAGCAAACTGAACGATATCTCAGCTGGTAAGCAACATTTAACTAGCTAGCACCGTTGTGAGGTATGAGAACATCCACTGGCTCCAAAGTGAAAAGTCTTCAGAATTCAGGTTTGATTGGCTGCAAGAGGTACAGATCAACAGTACTACAGAACCAGGCCACTCAGACACCATATAATCCAGCCTGTACTTGTGAAAAATAGAGGATGTATGGCTGACAGTTCCAACTGCAGACTGCAAAGATGACTTGTGGAGTTTTATTTAGTTTGCTTTTGGTATCCAAAATGAAGCATGGCATTTGGTTTGCCAGTTATCATTCCCTGTCATGTTGGAAGAGACCAAGATCTCTTTCAATGCACTCCTCTGACATTATCTGTGTACTTGTGTACGAAATTCTCAACTTGTGGTTAAGTCAGTAGGAGAACAGGAGAAGGGCGTTTGCTGTGGCACAGTGCCCAGATGACTTGGTGACAGAAAATAGGGTGGGCATGGACACAAATCCTATGCATCACCCGCTTCAACAGGTAGCATCTACATGCAAAAACAGAAGGTGATGTCACTGTGAGACACATACAGACTGGACTACACAAACAAATCTGTTCCAGTGATCAGGTCTCACAAGCAGAAGATAATTTATCTGCACTAGGAAATCAAACCTCCAAGGAAAGACAAGCTGCTCTAAAAAGTTTAAGCTCTGATTTGATTACCAAAAAAGGGGGGACAGGACAGCACAGCCTCACACACACAGACTTGTGCGCTCGTCCCTCTTGCACATGTGAACAAACAGACACATTCAGATATATTATGGGACACACAAAGTGATGCTGACAATGAAGAAGAATTTAGCCTTAAGTGTTAGAGTCCTCTTGTTTTCTCTACAGTATATTCAAGAATAGAATGAAACATTTTTTATCAAGTGTAACAACTGGCAATGATTTGATTAATCTGACAAGTCAAAACCGCATTAACTAAGAAACCCTGACAAAGTGCAAGTATAAGAGCATGAGAGCCAAGAAACCACAGAGATATTTGATGGTTTCTTTGGTTGTTTTTTTCTTTTCATCCCAGGGTCAGTATCCCCATCTTCAACATTTCACAGCACAAGCTTCAAATAGAAACTGGCAGATCTGGAGTGGAGCGGAAACCCAAGACTATTTTGCTCAAATATATTTCATGAAGAATGAAATGTGAAAAATGCCTGTGTGCAATGGACGTACGGTGCTATAGGTCATTATGATAATTTAAGGCTGCTGAAAAACTATTATTTTCTGCTGAAATGCAGATTCAGTCACATTGGAAGCCCAGGATGAGATGTAATGGGAAGGCATCTTCTTTCATTACATTCTCAATATGAATAGAAGCGCTTATGTTCGGCCATGATGGAAGTTTGACTGTAAAAACCTAGTAATTTTCTTTGGCTGCTTACATCTGCTGGAAAGGACAAACCAAGACCCACTACAGTCGACATGTAACCAAATATGAGCATGTTATCATGACCACAGTCTTTGCCAAACATTAACCAAATGCTCATTCCATTGCTGTTTATCATTCATCCGATAATTTTGTTTTTTATAATGAGCATTACAGCCTCATATAATTAAAAGAGAGTTTGGATTCAACTTCATACACATTATGTACATTTAATATACACTATACATTAATAATGTGTGATGTGGCTGGTGTGTAGTACTGTGGGTTCACACATTCACACAAACAATAATACACACACCACGAAGGAATCTCATCCAGTGACCGATTAGATATGCATCTTTCGAAGGATTCAGGCAGCACGATCCTGGCAAATAATATTAGTTCTGCATAATTCTTATTTTGTTGAGGCTCCTATTTTTTAGTTTTTGATGCTGTTTCCATTCACAGTAGCTAGATGCTGTTGTGTCTTTGTGATTACAACGTTTGTGTGCCTGTGTGTGCACTGGAGGGTCTCTGCGAGAACTGGGATCTAAGCATACCTCAGGGAATGTGTATTGTAGCAACAGCACCATATGTCAAACAAGAAAAGCAAAATAAGAGATTTACCCAGAAATAGCCTTCCAAGTCCTTTTTTTCTGATTAAAACCATTTTCCTGTCCTTGGGATTTTTTCAGTCTTTTAAATTTTACATCAACCTTGTCAAAATTCAGATGAAGTAAAGCCTTTATATGTTCATGAACTGGAAGACTTTGTAATGTAGTCCGTCCAAGTGGGCTCCAGTGAATGAGAACCTTTCCTGGGGACTAATTTTGTCACTCACTGATTTTTAAACTAATGTTTCAGTATTTTTAGCTCATGAGTATTAGTAAAGCAATTCACTTCTGCATTCTTATAGCTTTGAAACTACTTTTATGGCAGCAGTTAAGCTCTAGGGGACCTCAGCACTGATATGTAGGCTACAGCACAAACACTGTATGTAGGATTGCATTTATGTGTATATTTGATTATTTCTGTGCCTGTTTGTAGCTTGAGGCAGCTGGTTTAAAATCCTGGTATTCATCTCTTACATTTTATTGGAAAATAAGGAGTTGTTTTGTGCTTGGTCTGGAGTTATCGCAAATCAGAACCAAGGCACTTAAATTATCTGTAGCCAGGTGGTAAACTTATACTAAGGAAAGATAAATAAATAAATAACTGGATAATTTTCCACTTATGGTGAAAGGTCCCCTAATGGTTCAAATTTTCATGCAATGTTCATAGTTTTCCTGTTATTAATGTAACATAGTTTTTGTTGATGTAATGTGAAAGTAACTTACAGTGGGCTGCTGGAGTTTAATGTCACCTTAGAATCTTGGCCACTAGATGGCAGTGCTGAGTAAGATGTGTACGTTCCGCCAAAACTTCGCCAAGTGCACTGAGTGTGGTCTTTCTTTCTTTACATTTGGACTGAGCTTAGGAAGAGTGGAGCGCAGTGATTTATGAACCTCTATATGTCAATCTGTAAGCAAATATGCCCAAATTTAGTTGGATTCTGCCTGTAATAATACTTTAAAGAAGTCACCTATCAGAAGCTGATGGTGCTGCCGGCGTGGCGCAGACCCTGGTGTCCTCGGACATTAGCATTAACAGCCTGCTGGTTGTACTCTTTGGTGTGTCCAACGTGGAGTTGGTGAGCTTAAGTTTCTTTAAGTATGTGAATGTGGCATTTCATGGATATTTGGTGACTGCCTGGTTATTTGGTGTTTACAGATTGTTTTATTTTGTTTGTGTGTGCAGCCAGAGCCCACTGCCATATTTTGTTATCCCTTATTTTGTGTAAATAAACTATGTGACCTGTTGGACAAGAAAGCTCCAAGGACTCCAGTAACTACTGTATGTGTCCACCAATTGTACCCGGGCTACATATGGATAATCACATTTTACCGCCCCACAAAAAAGAAACATCTTGGAAAATCATTCATTTGCGTTATGACAGTTTGACCTTGAGGGAGTGAATGTGGATATTCTCGGTTTATACATTAATAGAAATTCACATGTAATTAACATTCCCCGCCATCCCGCCGTGACACTCGCAGGCGCGCGCGCAGTTACGCACTCACACAGGCGCTCGCGCTCGTGCGTCCAAGCTTCCTGCCAAGCTCTATAGTCGCGTTGTCCCACACAACACGAGCAAAAGGTTGTCGTTTTCAGCACGGGGCACATTCTGCACCCTCTCCCTGCAATATGGCGACAGAGGAAGCCCCCCCCCCCCCCCCCCCCCCCCCCCCCCCTTTTTACTATTTTATGAACAGTGACTATTTAGCTGATATTTAGCTGCTTTTCTAAGAAGTGCAGGTGGAGAAATGCCGTCTTGAAAACTGAATGTCTTGCTTGCTGTGCCTCCCATTACGGTGACTCGGGTGAATGCTGCCTTAATTCAGTCAAATCAACTGACCGGTCCTGGCTAAATGTGAAGTCTAGTAGGGGAGAGTCATGCATTTTTCACCCAGGAAGCCAGTTCAGTACTTCCATCACCGTTTGATGAGCCCTGTAACTGCAGATACATATCCCCCGTGATATATATGTATGTATTCTCCCACATACTGTCTAGTAAGAACTTAAATTAATGGTGGCAGTGGTGATGATGGAGCAGTCAGCACCATGGACAAGGACAGACCCCCCCCCCCCCACCTTTTAAAAACA